CCCATTAAAACCCGCGCTTGCCCACACCCACTCCCCACCCCCACACCCCACACCCACCCCACCCAAAACTAACGATATTCAAAAACACTGGAACGTGAACGCGAACTCGAACACTTCGGTTCAAATTTTGAACTGAACTTCGGTTCGCTGCATGTCTAATGTCATCAGAATATAACATAGTCTGAGCACTTTTATCGAGCTACTGAAAAGGTTTTAATTGTTTTTCAACAATCTCAGTTTTTAATGATTAAACACAAAGATATGAGTAATGTTAAATAGATTACTCTTTTAAAGTTTCACCATAATAGTTATTAATTGAAATTTTTTTTTATAGGCTATGAAAAGTATTCGAATTGCCTATGTTGAACACGCAACAAATATTATCGACCGCATATTTCATGCGTGGATCGTGGTGTTTATTTTCCGATTGTGGTTCATGTGGATTGATTCTACAGAAAAATGTGATATTGATTTAGTTTTCACACAATCATCTGGTTTATCTATATCTGATGAAAAGAAATGTAATACAAAACGTAAATACTTTATCACATACCAATCTTATTTCTCAATTGAGATCAATGCTCACAGCCTTAAATATCTGACGGTGCTTGTCTCCGAAGGAAAACTTCCCATCGAAGCACTCCATACATGGTTACAAAATTCGCAAACTTGCGGAAGCACATTTAGATCTGCCAGGTCAATATCCAGTATTAATTCAGCTGGTGTGAATTTTACAGTGGCACAGTTCCTTAGTAGAATAAATAAATTAATCACATTACAAACTATCAACAATAATTCAAGTGAAAATAAACTACGTTTTCCTCAGCACCATAAACTATCATCAACAACACGTAATGCCGCAGATTCATCGAATATAACTATTATGTCGAAAACTGATATTAAAACCACTGTTCTTAATGCTTATAGTTACGCAATCAATCTTTTTAAACCATTGAAAATCAAACAGCTTTTACGAAATGGGAAAACAATATCAGTGAAAGAACTTAGTAATATGATTTCACGTCGATTGGAGGATTTTTGGGCAACGCAAAGTGATGATAGTAGCAACAAAAATCAGGATTTAGATACAGAGTCAGGTGATGAAACTGACAGTGATATTGATAATGATCTTGCATATGATTATGAGAGTGATGAAGAAAAACGTTTAGATGATAACTATGACACGATCCATAATGTTAACGCATCTACACATCACGGAATAAGATTGGTTGATAACGTTAAAGAAGAATTTGCTCACAGTTACTTTCAAATTATCATTAATGGTGATAAAAAATATCTTCATAAACAAGCTGCTTGCTGGATTTTACGAAAAGATAGAGGTAAATTATCATCTGATAGATTATCACGGGTTCAAGGTAAATAACAGCTTCATTTTCAGCTGTTTTTGTTTAAATATGTCTTTGTTATATGTCAAATTGTAGTTTTTCTCTGTTGAATTGTTGTTGTTTTTTCATTAAAACTAGCCCATTTATTGTATATATCTGATTAGGATAATAGCAACAGATGTAAAGGACTTTTTTCGAATGATATTCAAAGAATCTAATAATTTGATGGATGATAAAAAAATCAATTGAAAATCATTGAAAATCTCTGGAAATCAAGTTGAAATCAAAGAAATCACCAGAAATCATGGAAATCATTTGAAATCGTCAGAAATCACGGAAATCGCTGGAAATCATGGAAATCACAGGAAATCACGGAAATCACAGGAAATCACGGAAATCACTGGAAATCACTGGAAATCACAGAAATCATGAGAAATCACTGGAAATCACAGAAATCAGGAAATCAGGAAATCAGTTTTTTCCCCCTTGACCTTCTGTCTCTATTTTTATTCTTTCATGTGTGACCGCTTCTTCTAATATATAGGACATGTTAAATAAAAGGAAATGGACAGTTGTGAGCGTGAAGATGACACAAGACACCATCGTGCCGAAAGGCGTAGGCACTCATCCTCATAATTCGTCACAAATATCACTTTCATTTGCTACTCCAAATGTCTATGTTGTTGTCGACTTGGATGGGCGTTGATAAGGTGCTATTTTTCACCCAAACCCATACAACCTGCGAGGAGGCAAAACAGACAAATTTGACCAAACCTCCTTTATGGCTGGTCTCTTTTGTAAATATGAGTACGTGGTAGTGGTGGTCAGTTAAGTAAATTCTCTGATACTTAATGATTGCACAATAATTACGCAGTAAAAAAAAACTTACGAGGAAAGGTCCCCAACTGTCCAATCCCAGGTCGAAATACCATCATGCAATTTATTGGTATATACCATGCCATAGGCCAAAGTTCCAGTAAAATGCCTATAACTTTGGACAGAAGGCCTAAGGGCCGTTATCCTTTTGGGGTTTTTCATATCTCACTGGGGTCTACCTTATGCACAGAGTCCGAACTCAAAAGCGATTGGACAGTTGGGGACCTTCCCTCGTTAGTTGACAGTCAGTGGAGTAGCTGTCAATATGTCGGATACGCTTTGAAATCCTTCAGGTTATATGGTAATACTTGTTCTTCTCTGTTCAACTAAGTCATTGAATGCCCTTCTCAAAATCTTAATAAGTTGGGGTGTGGGTGTGGGTGTGGGTGTGAGTGAGTGTGAGCATTACTGTCAGCTTTACTCACACTCATGCCCATACCCCACACTCATGCCCCACCAACACCCACACCCACACCCACACGCACACCCACACACACCCACACCCACACCCACACCCACCCACACCCACACCCACACCCACACCCACCCACACCCACACCC